ACTATCACAATATATTACTCTATAAAGATATAGAAGAAGTTCAAAATCCTACAAATGAATTAATTACAGAATAGAAAATTTATTATAATTTAAATGAATTAAGAAAATTTTGATTTGGATAATTATTGGCAAGAAAAACTCAAAATTTTACCAAATTTCTAAATTAGCATTATATATTTGCTTACCTACATATAATAGAATTTTAGCGGATAACAGACAAAATTTGTCTGAAAATTCGACTAGCATGTTGAATTTTTTAAATTTCAATAAATAAGTTAAAATCGCATAATTTGGACCAATCGCATCGCATAATCCGCCCTTCCATTTCGCAGGTCCCTACCTTATCTGTTATTTTTGATGGTCTCAATCTCGATAAAAAATTTTATTTTTCTTGAAACGCTAAGAAAATTTAATATCAATGCTTCCTACTTTTCAAACTTTCAAGCAATTCTACTTCTAATAGCTGCGATACATACATTACGACATAATAAAAAACATGATTTCGTTTACCAACTTAGTTCAACCTTTTATCCTTCTTAGAACTTCGTATTTTATTAGAGTTTCGGGAACTTCTCTTTCTCAAGAGGCTTCACATTTCTCCCGAGGATTCGCCTTTCGTCAGAGGTTTCGTTTTTCGCCAGGGGTTTCGTCTTTCGCTAGGGGATTTCATTTTTCGTCTTCCCCAGGCTTAGGTTTCGTCTTTCGTAATTCACATAAAACAGTTTCGCCCAACAACCATACATTGGCAACTATAAATTCACCGCGATTTTATACTACACAATCTTCTCAGGATGTATTTTTACCAGATGATGAGACTACTGTATCAAGCGTTGATTCGATAAGTCATTATGATGTGATAGTGCCAAACAATAGTGATACTATAGCGGAAACATTTTTGAAAATTGGTGATTTAAAAGCGATGGGTTTAATACATAATACTCCAGTTGGCGCTGTGGAGGCACTTCTTGAGGCGGTTAATGTTTACACCGGTTTGCCATGGTGGAGTACAATAGTTTTAACAACATTTGCAATGCGTATACTTTTTTTACCCCTTATTATCAAGTCACAACGCAACACAAGTAGGTTAATAACTTTACAACCAAAGATAGAGCAGTTGATGGAAGACTTTAAAAAAGCAAAAGAAACCGGTGATACTAATTTGATGATGCGTAAACATCAAAAAATAAAAGAATTTTATGCTGAAAATAAAATTAGTCCTTTGAAAAATTTATACCTCGTTGCTTTACAAACACCGGTGATGATCAGCTTTTTCATTGCTGTAAAAAAAATGGGTGAATTTCCTGTCCCAGGCTTTGAACGTGGTGGAGCTTTATGGTTCCAAGATTTAACCCTTCCGGATCCATATTACATTTTGCCCTTCTTAATGTCTGCAACTTTTATAGCAATGATGGAGGTATTAAAATCGATAGTTTTATCAAAGTTAAGTACAAAGAATAAATTCGAATCTGTCTAGATAATGCATTTATTTGGTTTAGACGAGCGATGCCTCTCGTATCAATACACCGAATGCGAAGGCAATGAAATGGGCTTTTCGTGGTATAACTATAATATCTATACCGGTTGCAATGTCTTTGTCCACAGTAGGTTGAGGATATTATTTACTTTATTTGATATTTAATGGTTAAATTACGTGCCAATAATTTTTCTTATCTCATACTCAAGTCAGTCCATATGTATCTTATGAGCTCCACAGTATTTAGCGTTTTACAAACCATATTTACAAACAACAAGACGGTTCGTAAATATTTAAATTTACCACCTATTCCACAAACATTAAAAAAACCAGCGGAAAAGCCTTTTTTGGAACATTTGAAGCAGTTGAATACTGACGCACGCAAGAACATAAGAGAACAACAAAAAAGACTATAAATAATATTTTTAAATATGGTACGTTAAAATTTTGCATTATATGATATTGCATTCCTTACAAATGTTAATAAATACATAAATAAACTATAAATATATAGTATTACAAGATCATTATTGAATACGGTAAGTATTATATCGTAAAATATATATATAGTTTTTTTTTTCTAATCGCCTCAGTGTTGCTCTATATCATGCTATTACATATTGATAATGGAGTGTCAAAATGAGTTCGCGTATATCAAATCATAAAGAACATCCCAGTACCCTTTTCACACGTATTCATTTGCATTGCGTGTGAAGGGTCGGTAGTTCAAACACTGAGCAAAGATCGAAACCAAAGATAACCAAAGATAGTCACACTAATTCATCCGTATCATGTTATTTATTTATTTTTTTTTTTAAAAAAAGATCATTAGGTTGTTTGTAGACGTTCAATAGGGAAATTTTACCAATCGCGAAGAATATGATCATTATTAACGTGATTCACATTTTTTCAAAAATTTTATGAGCCAAGAATTTATATGTTTAATCATTTTAATCATTTGCGATGTTGTTAGTTTCAATATGAATTTAGGCTGGTATCGGTATTAATATACCATTATCATCATATTTGGCCTAAAACAATAATTAATATAGATATTAATTTTCTTATTGAATATAATGCAAATATTTTTGTATTACTTTGTATTACCTTGAAAAACGTATATGATAAAGTGATAGTATCCACGTCTTTCATCAACGGATCATTTTCAAATTCTGGATCAATAAAAAAAAACACTGGCATATCCACTTGTTCTCCAGCCCCTAACATCTGCTCTTCAAAACAAAAACATTGTATTTTATTAAAGTATGGTGCCACATTAGATGGCGTTACGTTATATGTTGCCATACCAATAATGTCTTTATTTGATTCATTCTTTGCTGTATAAAATGCGAGTGCGGTCTCTCCCGGTAGAACACGCACATCCCGTTGTTGAGGAGTAAAAGACCAATGAAGAGCACGTGAAGTATCTGCATTGAATGTTACCCTTATTCGACGAGAATTCTTAGCTGGCACGAGACGATCTGGATTTAACGTTGAAGTCCCTGTCATCGGCGTTCCGCTGAATCCTGTTGTTTGACAAAACATTCGATAAAGAGGTGCTGATGCATATGTAAACCCTATTCCGAATATGAGAACTGCTGTGGTATACATCAATAATGACTTATTCTTTCTCGAATATATTCGTTTGTTTTGTTCGTATGTTGAGTTACGAGTATAGTTGTTAGATGAACCTATTTTACGTAGTGATGAAACCCTTGCGAAAGACGAAGCCCCTGGAGAAATGACGAAATCCTGACGAAAAATGAAACCACTAGTGAAATGATGAAATCCCCGGCGAAAGACGAAACCTCTAGCAAAAGACGAAAATTTTGAAACCCTAATGAGAGATGAAATCCTAAGAAAGGTAAAAGACTGAGTTATAGTTTGTAGATAAACCATTTTTCAATGATGTTGAAAGTCGAAATTAAATATGTCGAAACTTCTGCAAAATGATTTGAGATCTTGAATTTTAAACATTTTAATTTGTTGTAAATGGAATGGTTCTGCAGATCCGAACCGGATCCGAACCCATAAGATTGAATCTACTTAAGTACAGTAGATTGATTTATCGTTATGATAAAAAATGCAAAGTTCGTGATGAAATAAAAAATTTTGATAAAACTAACCACAAATTTAAATAATAATTTGTAATTACCAAAAAGCTTGCAATTTATTATTATTATTATTATTATTATTATTATTTTGAACTTTATGGTCATCACATGCCGGGGTTTTTTGGTGGTTACGCAGGAAATCATGGAGCACCAAAATACTGTACGTCTGTACCAACACAAGTTCTGAAATTAGGCGAGTTATTTATTCGAATTATTTGAAAATTCGATTTTGAATTTAGAATTTGACAATTAAGTCTGAGTCTGGATTTTCATAAATATTTGAGAAGTGATTTGAAAAATTTCGAAACGCAAGCAAAGCTAAAAATCAATTATATAATTTTAAAATTGAATATAAAATCGAATACAGTCAAACCTCTCTATAATCACACCCTTAGTTTTAAGAATTTGGTGCTTATAGAGAGTTTGTGCCTATATAGAGGTTAAATTTTATAAGTATTATATACAGATTATAATCGTTTTGTCTAGTGATGTCATTTGTGATTGACCAATCAAAAATAAGTACACGTCAATTTTTGCGAATCCCATAATTTTTTTACTCATCAATTTTTTGTAGTATATAATCTTACAATTATACGTACTGATAACTCCAGAAGGCGAGGAGTCCTCCAGGCTCCTATGACGCTATCGAATAACCGGTGGGTTAGGAGTTAGTAGAGCTGCTAGCCCTGCTAGTCGGTTCTTTCTTTTGTCTTTTTAAATAATATTATTGTTTTATTGCAAGAGTTTTTTCTTTTTTTTTAATATAGCTGACTAATAAAATTTTTTTCTCTTCATTTTCTTTAACGAAGTACTATAAGTATAAGTTGGTTTTAAAATTTATGTGATTATAAGAAAATGCGACTATAGAGGAGGTGACTATAGAGGTCTATAGAGGTCTGACTGTATACAAAATTTAACTACATATTCGAAAATTCCGAATTTACATGCATTTTATTTTTTAGTTTTTTTCGTTTCTTGTCGATATTATTATCATTAAGAAATTAGGTTTCATTATAACTTAATTTTTTTTATTCATTTCTCAGAGTTAAACAATTAAAAAATAGCATAATAAAATAGGCAATCCGAATAATGATATGACAAAAATAAAAAAGTTAGTATTAATAAATACTAAAAATGTCAAATACTATATTGTCTATTGCATAAATCTCAGGTTCGCAACTAGAATTTCAAAAAGCTAGTAACAGCGCTAACACTTGCAAAAGGCCTGTGTAAAGACTCACACTTTTATCAAAGGCAGTAAGAAACGAAAACTTGCATTTTAACACACCTTTATCAAGCTAAACAGGGTTGTAAAATTACGGTAATTTATTCCTTAAACCGTCTAGCGTTCAAATTTGAACGCTAAAATAATTTTTTATCAATTTTTAGATAATTACTCTAAATTTTTCTAAAACGTGCCCCCATCTTTCCTAATATAGAATTAAAGCGTTCCACATTGCCGATCATATATTATTAAAGCATCCGTAAATGTCATGTATATTTTAGGTAGATCGGCAAATTAAAGTTGCGAATTAAAATCAACCTGAAGAAGAAAAAAGTAAAAATGCGATAAATAAGAAAATACGGCAATCAAAACCTACTTTAAAAATACTAATAAAGATTGTCAAAAAAACAATTTTACATATAATATGTATATTCTCTATAAACCTCCAACTGACCCTGTATCTAATTTTAATTGAAGTGTTTGATCGAATAGACACATGATTTTAGTGTTCTTAAATTCTAACTGCATTCCTTAAATAAACTTAATATTTTTGCCCTTAAAATAAACTTGATTTTTGTTTGTAAAGTAAACCTTAAAGTAAACCTTAATTTTTGCGCATGTGAACTTTAAAAAATAAATAAGTAAATTGGCAATCGATGTCCATTAACATATCATTCAAATTGGGTTGGATTATTTATCTTTGCACGCATTGTACTATTTTGATGATATCGCTAGGCCTATTCATGAATTATTTCTAGGCCCATAAAACAAATTATTGCTCACAGATATCTATCTTATATTAATTTAGAATTATATATTTAAGTAACCAGATAAAATTGATCAATTGTAACGAAATTCCCAATTTTTAATAAAAAAAAAGTCTATTGCAACAAAAAAAAAAACTCTTAATTGTAAAGTTCATCGTGAACAAAATAACAAATAAAAAAATATTAATTAAACATGTCCTCTACGTTTGAGTTCGCTTCGCCTTCCTCTGAAATTCAGGAAATATATGTAGAGGATGAGGAGGAATACATACCCATTTTAACGACTCGTCAGCATCACTTAGATAACCTGGAGTCAGACGATGAAGAAGAAGAGGAGGGAGAGAAAACAAAAATAGGCACAGGAATTGCCCACACAAAAAAATGTAAATTACCAAAAAACAAACAAGAATTGCCACCACCACCCTCTGATTTTAAACCATTCGTTCATCAAAGACCATTGCATCGGGCATCTGTTCGGTTACCTTCACATATTGACGTGGTTGTTTCTAGGTCGATTGACTTTTTTTTTCTTTTTTTTAACATCACCATGCTGGACACAATTGTTGACAACACAAATCTTTACGCACTGACAAAAGGTGCTGGTATAACTAGTAGACAATGGTTGGACCTAAGTCGTAAAGAGCTCATTATCTGGATTGCTCTTGTCATTTATCAAGGACTTTATAAATTGCCCTCCCTAGACCAATATTGGAATGAGAATGAACGACTTCCAATTCATTATATCTCAAAACAAATGTCACTAAAACGGTTTGAAATAATTAAGAGATTTTTACATATTTCGCCCCCTGCTGCAATGATCAATAATTATTTTGATAAACTGGAACCATTACTTTCACATATTCGTAATGTCTCGAAGCAGCTTTACGTGCCAAATTCAAACGTCTCAGTGGATGAGATGATAGTTCGATTTTCCGGAAGAAGTAGTCATACTGTTAGAATCAAGAATAAACCGACCCCAGAGGGCTACAAAATTTTGTCTCTGTGTGAATCTGGGTATACTTACACCTTCCTCCCAACATCACGTGTTTCCCCAAGTAATGTGACGAAAGTGTGTGGCCTTAACCAAGTTGGATGTTTAGTTAGTCATCTTGTTGAGCAACTTCCCCAATATTCATACAATATATATATGGATAACTATTTTACCAGCATTCTCCTTTTTCAATATCTTCGGCAAATTAACATTGGTGCTTGTGGAACTATTCGAAAAACTGCTTCCAGTTTTCCAAAAGTATTAAAAGTAGATAAAAGTATCAAACTCGACTGGGATATTCGTTCTGGTGTTGTAGTGAATGGTGTGTTAGTTTTTTTTTGGCAAGACAATGGTCCCGTAACAATGTCAACAACAATTCATGGGCTCGTTGGTGATGAATGGGAGGTGGAGCGAGAAAGACGGCGTCCAAGAGAAACAAGCACTAATGCAGTGAAGGTGCGCGCGGTATTTGGATCTGAGTCAAAAAAAAAATTAAAAATTCCAAAAGTGATAGATGACTACAACAACTGTATGAATGGTGTGGATATTGCAGACCAGTTACGGTCTTATTACAATACGCAGCAAACAACCAGGTGAGTTTGGATGCCACTTTTTTTCTGGCTTTTGGATACGGCTATTATTAACGCATATCGGATCATCAGAACTTCGGGATCGACAAAAGAACATAAGGAGTTTCGTTATGAGCTTGTTTGGGACCTAATCGATTTTGCAAATGACACTGGTGTTCAATTGAGAAATAGTTTTAATAATTCAAAAGGAGAAGAATCAGAGAAGAAAACCAAGCGATCCAAGACAACAAAGCATTTTAAGCTCTCAGACAAACGGCTTGTACCTGAAAACCATTTGGTAGAGTGGAGAGAGCAACGTGAGGCCTGTCGATGGTGTACGTGGCTAGCACATGAAGGTAAATTAGATATGGATCGTAAATCACCATATAGAAGTAATTATTGGTGTATGACATGCAACGAACCTCTTTGTTGCAATAATAACCGGAATTGTTTTTTACAATTCCACACCCATAATGCAGAGGTCTAATTCCTTTTTCTATTGAATGTATATATGTTTTAACGTGAGGTTTAAGTAATGAAAAGTAATGAATTCTTTTCAGATCACTTTTATGTACGTATATAATTTTGAGTGGCTTGTCCACGTGATATGATATATTACGTTCGATCGATCACATTTAAGTGCAATAATTCAAAAATTATGGTAAAGCTGCATTAACCTTCAAATAAGTATGCTGATTTTTAAAGTACGCGTTGCTAAATAAAACCAAAATTTAGTACATATAATAATAAATTCAAATACAAAAGTGAATGGAAAGTGCGTCGATCTGATAAATAACTTCTTCATACGTATGTACATAGTCACAAACGTGCAACCCTTTTCAATAGTTTACTTATACTCGACGAAATAATTATACGTACTAACATTTCCTACACTAGCTTCCTATTAGCTTGACAAATGCATTCAGCTAATTTTACAATCACATGTACAACATTCACCTGACACAATAAATACACTTTAACCTTCGTACATCGTAACAAAAATGGCCAATATTCACCTAAATGTGAAAGACACATTCCTATCGTTAGCTTGGCGTGAGAAAAAAAACTTTAATTTGACATATGGTGAACTACAAATTGTACATAGATAGTAGGTACCCGAATTAATCAGGATGACTCAATAATTCAGGTTATGCAGAATTTTTCGCAACTGCAGCACAGTACATTCCATGTAACTCGAATTCGTGTTCTTTGTTCGAGATACATGTCATATGTCACATTGCGGTTAAAAGGTAT